TATATATATATATATATATATATATATATATATATATATATATATATATATATATATATATATATATATATATATATATATATATATATATATATATATATATATATATATATATATATATATATATATATATATATATACACATACATAATGCACTGTTATGCTAGATAGCACAGCTGCTGCTTCATAGTTGCACCGTTGCGAATGACGAGCTGCATAAATTCCCATAACTAACCTAACCTACCTAAATGTACCGCTAACAATGTATACCGTGACCACGCAAACGAGATTTGCAACAGCGCAGCATCAATTTTCACAATTTCCCAAATGGCCAACTTTAAAATTCAAACCAGTCGATATTTATCGTGGAACCGACTTGTCCAGATAATATTTTTGAAATACACAACAAAAATTTTTTTTCGAAAAAAAAAACGTAAAAATTAAAAAAAATTTCCTTCCATTTTCAAAAATGTCCAACAACCACGTGTGCAATGATCGATGATGGAAACTGTCACTCTGTCTGCTGAACGTTTACGAATCGTCGACCACCCATAGCATCTTGTCTCCCATCGTTTAAGATGATCCCGAGCATCGTAAGTCCTCTAGCTGCAGTTGGTATATCATGGGGCGCGACAGCCCCGCAAAATGGGGTAAAAAATTTTTTTTACCTCTCTCGCCATTGATTTACTGACCGGCTGCGAGTACTGGCGTTGGACTATCGGTGTGTCTGGTTTTTGCGAGGGTGCGGACGTGAGTTGATGATTTATTGATTGTCACGCACTCAAGAATTTTTCATTATCCTTGAGTGTCGCTCTATCAATTAAACCGGCTGCGTGTCTCGTCAAGGAACTCCGAGACAAAGTACAAGAGCTCGTTAGACAGGTTGTAAAAATTGATGGACTATTAAAGCATCGAGATACAACAGACCAACTCGCTGGATTCTTTGTCCTATGAGTTCTCCGGGAGAAATGAGAGTGCGAGAACGTTACGGACAGATTTGCCAGTCAGGATGAAGCTATGAAGAAGGGTTAGGATTGTGCTGTCAGTGAATATATATATATATTCGAGGATCTCGGGTCAGAAATAGTCGGACGTTACGATCGGTAAGCTGTAAAGAGAAGTCATGCGTAAGATTTTGCAATAAATTACAAAATTCCTTATGGCTGTATCAGACGAGAAATATCATAACTAAGTATACCAGAGGCAAAGGTATGTTTATAGAAATTTTTGAAAAATTACTTTTTCAAAATTTTTTTTATGTATTTATTAGAATGTATATGTACAGGTATTCTTGACGAAAATTAATGAAGCTTTAGACTGTTAATGCGATTTTAGAAAATTCGATTTGATGATCTAGTTATTTTACCCACGGCAACAGGTAGGCGATGTTATTCATTAATTGCGACTATAGGAAGGAGAACTTCTTGGCCACGACTATCCTACGCTCTTCCTATTCCTATTCGTAGAGCTATACGCAATGTGTAGATATATATATGTATATATGTACGTATGCCTATTAGGTGTGGTCGCGGACCTAGGCTAAGAAGGTCTTGAAATACGCGGTGTAGTTCCTTATGGGTTTCGCTGCACAGATTCAGGTCGACGACCTGAACCCTGAAATAATTGCCACCTATCGTCAGGGTTGACATAGGGGAAAATGGAGGATAAATAATTAATCAGAGTAAACTGCAATTGGCTACGGACAATAAGTTCGTATTTGTGGAATTAAGAAATGCGAGTGTTCGATCTGTCATATTTGTGCCGCAAGGTCAATTGTAATGAAATGAACAGGAACGGTGTGAACAACCTCGAAATTTCAAGCAAGTAGTACAATGACGAATCTTGTAAAATGTCATAAAGAATCACTGAAACCGTAATAAGGTAATGAAATGAAGAAAGGTGAGAGTTTAAGAAAAAAAATATGTCAATTACAGAGAAATTTTTAAATTTACAAAAAAATTATGCTCGTCATCCTTTTCAATACCTTCAATATGCCTCTCAAGTTATGTAGAAATTAAAGTAAGAATTTTCAAAAAAAAATTCACTGAACTTTTTAATCAATGTCATTGGCGTATCCAAAAAAAGTTCAAAATTACCCCCAAAAAATATTTAGACCGAACTTACGTCGATCGATACCAGACCGGAGATGAAGTAATTTGAATAGGTTAAATACAGTATATTTATCATACTGATCTGCTGTTTACAAGCCACTACACATACGGAGGTGTAGCCTTAGGGCGAGTTCCCCGATAACGAAGGTTGGCACCCCTAAAATATGAAAACGGACATAGGCTATACATAGAAGTATCCAGTTCAAATGTACCTGTCAAAAGTGACAGCTGTCATAAAGTCATAAATATAATTTAACAACACACTACAGCACAATGATCCGTTCCGGTTGAAAATTCCTGTGTCAGCCATTTCTGAAGTACATAGAAGCACGCGTACTCGTACGATACCGCGAGAAGGTTCATAATGGCCAATAAGTCGAAAAAGTAAGCGGACCTTATTTAGTCCCATTTCTCAAAGGCGTCCCACGTGGGCCTGAAACGTGACTGAATTATATGGGGTTCAGTTTCTGCGTTGCAGAATGTCTTTTTAAATCCACGGACGGTCGTCGCCTGATAATGAATGCCAAAAGTAAATGGATAAAAATGAATGGCATTATACATAGCAAAGGGACCCCGCATACCTTGTTTTTCATTCGTCCGCCAAGAAGCAGTAGCCGGCCCTCGTTAGCGCTATGGTGCGTCGCACCATAGATAGTTATTGACGTCTACTAAGAATCAATTTCTTCAAGTTCGCAATCACATCTGATATCGCTTAATTAAGCGACTCCAAGATAAGGCGCAGTCCAACCTGCAGTCCTCGTCACTTCCTGAGGCATCGCTTACTCCTCGAACGAGAATCGGCAGCCTTAAAACCGGTCATTATCCAATTATCGACGAACACCTCTATATTCTTCGAACACATTAATTAAATGCGTGCGATCAGCCACGACCTTCCTCGAGGCAAAGCCGTCGCGCCTAGTTGCGCTCCAACTAGTTCAATCGAAAATACCAGAAGACGCCATTGGCCGAGAAGAAAAAAGTTTACTCACAAAAATACCAAAACACTCGCCGACGGAAGAGCTCGTATAACATGAAGTAAGACGAGGCACTACAAGAAAAAAGATACATAGCTATCCCGAGTCAAGTTCGAGCCTTGAGAAATCATTTTTTGGTGTTCCATGGTAATTGGGTTTGCCAGATACCAACGTATATGAGTTTCTATATATTTTTTTTTTTGGAATTCACGGAGCAAACAAGTACACGGCATCGTGCTTGTACTCGTTTATGATGAAAAAGAGAGTAAAGTGGAAATTAAGGGAAAAAAAAAGGAGTAAACCACAGAAAAGGCGTCTGCAGTCGCTTTAATGAGGTTTAACATTATTATAATCGCGTGTTACATTTTCATTTTTTTGAAAAAAAAAAAAAAAAAAAAAAAAAAAAAATTTTAAAAA